GGATATCAAACAGAGACTACAAGGGCACATACGCATGGCGCTCGAGCTACGTTTTCGAGGAAAGCAATTTTAGAGGATCGTGGAAGTATGTAATCGGCGGTTTCGGCTATTGATTAACCGCCAGGGAAAAGTCATCATTATGCCCCAGTAATGACGCTGTCGCCGAGGTGAGGGAGTAGTGTTATGACGGAAGTTGCAGCTTCGTTTTCGTCCACACAGCTTGGACTTTTATTTTTTTCTTTTTGTTAAATTTATTTTTTATATTTTATTACTTGAATTATATTCTATTTTTTAATTGTTATGGTTCTTGTTGAATTACAAATATATAGATGAATTTATAAATTAATCCATGCCTTAAATAGACAACCTCGTTATTTCCTTGCCTGGTCGATTGTCCCTCATTGTTGTTTGTGTCAAATCATCAGCATCATCAAAAAAACAACATCCCGTTAGGTCACTGCGTTGGACATAAACAAGAAGCAACAAAATGCATGCGCAAGTGAAGCTAATAGAGTGGTTGGGCAAGTTAATAAAACATAAACTTTATTTTATTAAAAAAATAATTTTTATTATGTTTTATGGCAGTGAACCTCCTTTATTGAGTTATATTTAACAACTGAAATAAACATATAGTTACATTTGTCACTATGGTTATGATTATGTTTACTTAAATTACAAAGAAATCACCTGATGTGATAGCAGGCATGGTGTCAGCAAATTTTAGTGAGAACAGAAATAAGAACGGATGCTCGTGTTAATTGTAAAGTATTGTAAAAATGCTTATTTTTGTTTATTACAAGAAATGTTAATATTTTTAATGTTAATTCCTCCGCCCTTAATTTCGAACGTCCGCGTTCGTTATAAAGAAAGCAGGGTTATTATCAATTATTTGTAAAGGAGCTGATATTTGCATTTTTTTTTGATTTAGCAATTTTAAAAAACTTATTATGATCAAAATTATAATTAATGTAAAACTTGTTGCAAATCCAATAATTTGTTTATTTTTTATTAATTTTATTATTGATTATTAATGTGAAGTTGCTCCAAACTTTGTAAAGAAAGTGTTTTTTCAAAGGAGTTTGTAGATGGTAAATGTATCATCGCAGGTAATGGTTTGTAAAGGATTGTCTCAGTGAGACTATAATGTTGATTTCCGATTGTTATCGATGTATTTTGATATCTAATTATGTATGTTCCGTTCATCTGTGTGAATGCCGTTTATGACTGATGGATTAAGATATCTTTTGAGTAAAGATATAAGTTCTTCGTCAGTATAATTGTTTTGAGTAATGGTATGACGATGATATGTGGGAAAAATTATTTCAAATTTGTAAGTTGGAATGTCGTCAGTAAGCAGAAATATTTGGTTTTTATAAACATTTATGGGAGAGTTGGAAAATTGTATCAAATTTTCAGAAGAACTTTCGTCGCTATGCTGCGTTGGTGTTAGTGAATTTATTTGTGGTGCTCTTGAAAGTGCATCTGCAACAACATTAGTTTTTCCTGGTTTGTATTGCAGTTCATAATTATATTCTTCTAAGCTTACTATTAGTATTTTTATTGCTAAGTGCATGTGTAAGAGGTTGGTGGTCTGTAATTATTTTTACTGTAGCAGATCCATAAAGGTAATTTCTTACATTTTCTAATGCCCATATTATAGCGAGCATTTCTCTTTTATTTGTAGCATAACTTTCTTCAGTTTTCTTAGAGTCCTGGATATAAAAGCAATTGGTCTATTGTCTGGCGATAATACCGCACCTAACGCAAAGTTTGATGCATCAGTGGTGAGTTCAAATTCTTTTTTAAAATCGGGATAGGCTAGTACTACGTCTTGACTGATTAAGGAATTCTTTAGCTTATTAAAAGCTTCTGTTGCTTGGCTATTGAGAGAAATTACTTGTTTTTAGATTGAGATTTTGGCAGGTTGCCTTCCTCCCCTCTTAAAAGAGCTGTCAGGGGTTTAGCTATTTTTGCGTAATCCCTAATGAAGCGACGGTAATAACCTGACAGGCCTAAAAAGGATCTAAGTTCTTTTATTGTTTTAGGTTGTGGAAAGTTTTTTGTTGCTTCTAATTTTCGCTTTTATCAAGCTGCACTTTCATATTTGCGTTTTGTAATGTTTGGAAAATTTTCTCAATATTTTCTATGTGTTCTTTTTCAGTTTCGCTGAAGATTAAAATGTCATCTACATATACGAAACATATCTTTCCAATTTGTTGGCGTAAAATGTCTTCTAGTGTTCTCTGAAAAATTGCGAATGCATTTTTTAAACCAAAGGGTAGTCTTGTGAATTCGTATTTTCCGTTATTAACCGAAAATGCTGTTTTTTCTATATCTTGTTGTCTTAATGGGATCTGATGGAAACCGCTTTTGAGATCTATAACCGAGAACCGTTTTTTATTACCTAACTGCATCAATATGTTGGATATTTCGGGTATAGGATATCTATCTGCTATAGTTATCTGATTAAGTTTTCTATAATCTACTACCATGCCAAACTTTCTTTTTTCGGAAGCGTCTAGTTTTTTAGGTACTATCCATACAGGAGCGTTGTATGGAGATCTTGATGGTCTAATTATACCGTTTGCAAGTAATTCGTTAATTTGTTTCTCCACTTCTTCTTTTAATGAAGAAGGATAGGGGTAACTTCTAGAATAGACTGGCTTGTCTGAAGTAGTTCTTATTTCGCCTTTCACAATTGTTGTGTATGTCAATTTTTCATCCGGGTCCAGAAATAATTTAGGATATTTTATTGTTAATTCTCTGATTGCATTTTCCTGATCTAGAGTCATATGTTGGGTTCTAATTCCTATAGTATTTACGTCACTAGTATATTGTTGGTTTATTTTTATTTTCTTTCCACCTTTTATCACTAATAAGCTGCGCTCTATGTAAATTATTGCTGAAAGTTGTTTTAAACTGTCGTTCCCTAATATGGCATGAAAAGATTTGAGTGTTGGAAGTACAAAAAATTTTATTGGAATTTCAGTATTTCCAAAAAGATTTGTAAAGACATGGTGGGTAACTTTGATAGGACCTCCTATTGAATTAGCATAAAATTCGTTTTCATTTTTGATAATGCTGTTTGATAGGTTTGGTTGAATGTAGTTTTTATTTGAACCTGTATCTAAAAGAATTTTGAGAAATTTTCCATCGTTAGTCCTACAACTATTATAGGGTAACGAGGATTGCGTTAGCCTAAAAAATGAATATCTGTAAAACTTTCTTCAGAATTTTGTAAGTTTTCTTGATATTCTGGGAAACTATTAATATATTCCTGTAAGGTTTGATCTTGGTTTAGATCATCTTCTATTTCATGTTTTGCCACGGTGTGGAAATTTCTTTGCACTTTTAGAGGTGGTCTAATTTGAAGTGATTGTTGTGGTGGTCTTTTCCCTTGGAAGTTTTGCATAGGTCTTGGTCTGTTTTTATAATTTATGTTACGAGTTCTTATACTGTCGTCAACTTCGATTGGTTGGAGTGGTTTAGGAGCAAAAGGTGTAGGTGGTGGTTGTAGGTTATTTTGGAATGGGTTAATTTGGAATTGATTATTTCTTGACTGATTGTTTTGGAATGGGTTAGGTTGGAATTGGCCATTTCGTGATTGGTTATTTGGGGATGGATATGATTGGAAGTGTCCGTTTTTTGTCTGAAAAGTCTGATTTCTAGTGTCAAACCATGGTTGGTATGGTGACGTCGGTTGATACGAAAATTGTGGATAGTTTGTTTTTGGTTTATTATATCTTGGAGGCAATAGTGGCGACTGAACAAATTTCTTTATATTGGTGCGTGAATTTTGTGCATAGTTAGTTCTAAAGGTTTGGTTTTCCAATTTTTGGCACAATGCAAGTGCTTGTGGTAAGTCTCTAGGCTCCTTTATTGCTAAAAGTCTTGGCATATCGCCATTTAGACCCCTAATGAACGTATCTAAAGCTTTTTCTCTGTATGTTTTAGTTAAAATGTTTGTAGCTTCATTCCCTATTTCTAAGGATGATAATTTATTTAGGATAGGGTTAGGCATCCATATACTTCATGGTAAAATTCTTGGATATTTTGCCTACATTGGGTCAAAGAGGTTAATTGATATTCGAGAGATGATACATCTCTTTTATCGGCGTAATGTGTTAGAAGACAATTTGATATACAATCCCAGTTTAATGGAGTATTGTATGATTCTAATACGTTGTCTGCTTGCCCTGTGATCTTGTTTCTTATAACGCTAATAATTCCGTAATATTTGGCAGTGCCCTTTATCGGTTAATAAATTTGAAGAATTCCCTCAACGCTTTTTTCCATGATATAAATTCCATACTGTTACCTGAAAATTCTCTTAGACATTTTACGATATCTGGAATTTTATCTAGGTCTCCTATATTAGCCCTATGTTCTTGATTTATAACCAGATCCGTCCCTGAGAATTCATTTGAATTTTGATTAATAATTGAATTAAAAATGTTGTTTTGATAGTAGGATCTAGTGCGATTCAATTCAAACACATAAATTTGAACTGACACTTAGTATCCAAATTAATTTCCTTCCAAGCACATGAACTTGAAGGAAGCCGCCTAGATAGTAATTAAAACTCTTAGTTTAGTCACTACAAAAGACGACTGAATTTTCTTTATTTCTGGCTGTCTTTATATACAAAATTTCTTAACATAATTAATTAAAAAATGCTATTGATAAATGCTGATATAAATTAATTGTAATGTAGGTCGGTTACTAGTAGACATTAAATGCTATGTAAGCAAAATAAATAAATGTGTTAAAGAAACTTAAAAACATTGCAAAAGTGAATGAACCAATGGCCAATGAACTAACATAAAGAAAATTAACTGTAACAATAAAATAGTCCAAATATGTGATATAATAATGCTGTATAAGCAGTTTAAAACTTATAAATATGTAGGTGTGTTTGATTTTTGTATTTATTGTTTGTTTTTGGTAATTAAATCTAAAGTATGTTTATAGAACAATAATAAAAAATATTTATGTATGTTTTAACATTCTCCGCCGCGTTGACATTGTTCAATGATTGCGCTTGGGTTGGATGCATGTGGGAATGACTCCATTGTAACATCGATTGTTGATTGATGAGATCTTATAGCTGGTGTAGGTATGAATTGAGATGGCTTCTTAAATTTTGTGTGGATCCTCCAACTCAGCTGGCCAAGTAAAATAAGAATGCAGCAAACTAAAGATGCGTAGCTAACTGCATGATGATGTTGATTTAATGAGTGAATTAATTGTGGTAGGTGTTTTAGAGTTGATTCATGCAACTGTTTTTGTATATTATCCAATTCTTCTTGATGAATCTTGTAAGAGGTGGTATTGGTATTTGTTGAAACCTTTTCAATTTCCTCTTGTCGACTTATATATTGAATGCCTTTCAATCTTACATAGGATGTATGTAAACTACTGGAAGCTGCAAAATGTCCATGTATCGTAACAATTTTGTTTTTTATTACGCAGGTAGGACCAATTTCCATTATTCCGGAATTTTTAATGATGATGAGGTTGGTTTCAGATCCGCATACCATTGAAGATTCAATATCGGCTGTAGTAGCAAAGATCCATTTATTTTGATGATGTAATTGACTCCAAACTGCTGTTCCAGTAATTTTGTGAAGACAGCAATTGCTAGTTGATTGGTTATTGAAGATATTGATCTCGCAAGTGTTAACAAGTGCATTTTTCTTGAGCTTTGACTGCTGACTTCTGCAAATATATTCATCATCGTTTGGTTTGAGGCAGCTTGAAATATCCTCTGATTTGACAAGAATACATTCTTCTCTATGTGCATCGGTAGATATGTATTCCGTTTCTGGTTGAATGGCGATTAAGGTGTCATTTTGTATTGTTGGAACTGCAACTATTTTGAACAACTCAAAAAACTGTTGGTTAACTAAGGGTATCTTCACTTCAAAAATGATTTCATATTTTGTAACTGCCCCTTTAACACTCATAAGCTTATAAAGTTGAATCAAATTGTCACCTGATGTTGGCAAAGCATGTGAAATTGGAAGATTAGCCATAATGACACTAATTTCTTCTTTCAATTGATGAGGAGCCAATAACAGGGGACTTATTTTTCCATGATGAGTATCAGTAAGCACATTAATGATTTCGGCCTGTGTTCTCTGTAGATTTATTGCGGATAACATCAAATGCGTTGATAGAAGTCCAAACAGTTGAGAATTGTTGAATTGGTCGGATTCTTCAGCTATATCGTTATTGTGTTTGTTTTCTTCATGAACTGTCTTAAATAGCAATTTCACCAAAGGATCATTATAAGGCAATATCATTTGGTGTTTCGCATCCATTTGTAGCATAGCATGTTCCAATCTTCCTCCAACGCGAAGAATGCCTTCATCATCCAAAAACGGTGATAAACTGCATAGCGAGCTATGCTTATTAATCTGCTTTTCAGCCTTCAATGCGTTGATATCAGCTGCAAATTCGGATGATTGTACGGCTTGAATTATTAGACGAAGGGAGTCGTCTAATTCGTTGGAAGACACTGCTATATGTTGAGGCCGGTGTGCCTTTTGCATACGTGCATTGCCGGTGAATCTAAGCACGTATGCCAAAATTCTTTGTAACTTCCTGAATGAATTTTTGTGCTCGATCATATGTATTAGATGCATGTCAGAAGCTACTATTGACGTCGTAGCTGCAGTCTTTAACTCCATGCTATTTGTTATATCCTCTTGCGGAGAGAATTTGGTCGGCCATAGTTCTTCCTTTCCATGAAGAAAAACTGGACCATGAAACCATAATCGGCATTTAGGAAGATCAGCTGGCGAGAGTCCTCGGGATAAAATGTCGGCAGGATTTTCTTTTGACTTAACGTGGTTCCATTGTTCTGGCAATGTTAAGTTTTGTATGGTGGATACCCTATTAGCCACAAAAGTCTTATATACGTTGGACTTTGATTTTATCCAGGCGAGTACTATTTCAGAATCAGTCCATAAAAACATCGGACTATTCTGAAGCCTTAGGTCATTTTTCACCCTGGTAGCCAGTTGAGCTGCTACCACTGCGGCACATAGCTCTAATCGCGGTAGAGTTTGCTTTCTCAAAGGAGCTACCCTGGATTTAGCACAGATCAGACGTACAACTACTCGTCCATCTTTTCCAATAAAACGAATATAAATAGCCGCGCCAAAAGCTCTTTCCGATGTATCGGCAAACACATGCAACTGGATTTTCGTCGGGATCTCCCCACAGAATACATGTCGCGGTATCTTAAAGTTGTTGAGACCTTCCAATTCCCTTCGAAATGTTTTCCAAGTGGCACAAAGTTTTTCGGGTAATGCTTCGTCCCAATCTAATGTATGTTGCCACAGCTGCTGAATAAATATTTTTGCCTTCACCACAATCGGTGCAAGTAGGCCAAACGGATCAAATAATTTTGCTAGTTCAGACGTAACTACTCGTTTTGATATGATTTCATTATGATCAATGTTTGTTTTTACAGAAAATTGATCTGTTTGCGGCGTCCAATATAATCCCAAATTCTTTATTGTTTGAGATTCGTTGAGATCCAGGTTCACTTCTCGATCGCTATGTGGTATGTCCTTCAGCAATTTTGGTGTATTGGATGACCATTTCCTTAGAATGAAGCCGTGTTGTTTCAAGATTGTTATTAACTCCTTTTGTATTTCAATAGCTGTACTTAGGCTATCTGCACCGCCGAGACCGTCATCCATATAAAAAGTATCTTTCAGCATTTGTGAGCCTAATGGACAACGCTCCATGTTCTCGTTTGCAATCTTTTGTAAGCATTTTGTAGCCAGATACGGTGCTGAACGTGTCCCATATGTGACCGTATTAAGTTTGTAATAACTGACTGGATGGGATGGATCCTCTCTCCAGATAATTAGCTGATACCTTTGATCATCGGGATGCATTAAAATCTGCCTGTACATCTTTTCAATATCGGTTGTGAAGACGAATTTTGGCAATCGAAACCTCAGCAAAATAGAAAACAATTCACTTTGTACGATTGGTCCTGTATACATTAGATCATTTAACGATTGACCTGATGAAGTTTTCGCTGATGCGTCAAATACAACCCTAAGTTTTGTTGTTGTACTATCGGGCTTGAGAACACAATGATGCGGAATAAAATATTTAGGATTTGATACGGTACACACGTCAATCTTTTGCATGTGTCCTAATTGTTCATATTCTCGCATAAATTTAATGTACTGACTTCGGATATCTTCCTTCTGTAGAAGTCGGCGTTCAAGGCTCATAAATCGGTTATAAGCCATTGCATGTGATTTCCCCAATGCTGTTGGAGATTCTTGAAACGGAAGGCTGACGATGAAACGACCATTCTGATCCGTCTTAACATGTTGATTGAAGTGAGATTCGCAAAGAGTTTCTAATGGAGACATGACCTTTTCAGTTGATTCCACTTCCTCAAGTTTCCATAATTTTTCGATAGCTTGTTCCAGTGATGTTTCACTAGAAATTGCGCATGTTAGCGCTGCTGATGTGTCGTCCGTTGACGATTGTTGAATTAAACCACCTACAATCCAGCCAAGCGCAGTATTTTGGAGTATGGGTTGATGACCATATAGTTTTATTGTGCCTGGTTGCATTAAACTGAAGTAAAACTCAGCTCCGAGTAAAATGTCAATTTTTCCTTGAACGTTAAAATTAGGGTCTGCTAATCTAATATTCTTGGGAATTTGCCAGTTTTGTATATCCAAATCATGATTTGGTTGCGGAGGTATAATTGTGGGCAAAACAAATGTTTCCAAATTTGTGGAAAATTCAGAATTGCTTGATAACATTTGTATGTTTACCCGATGATAAGCCTTCTTCTGAATCCTTCCGACTCCGGAAATAGATAAAGAGGCATCTGCTGTTCTAAGTGACAATTTTTGTATGAGTCTTTCCGTCACAATGTTCACTTGCGAACCCGAGTCTAACACCGCTCTAAATTCGCCTGACATACCGTTAGTCGCTTTGATGATGACTCTAGCCGTTGCTAGAATTACATTTTTCTGATCTTCTGCTGATGCCGAAGAAACTGCAGTAACGTTGACTGGTGCGATATCGATTTTTGTTGGTGGTGATTGATTTGAGGCCTTCGGAGATGGTTGAGACTTTTTTGGCAAATGTAGCAATGTATTGTGCTTATTACTACATATTTTGCAGTTGCCAGAAAAACAAGTTTTTGCTGCATGGTCCGATTTGAAACAATTTACACACAATTTATGTTGCTGTATCCATTTCAATCGCTCACCTTCTGTCATTGCCAAGAACTTCTTACAATGATAAATTGGATGGGAGTCGTTCTTGCATAGTTTACAACTCCTGTGATCCTCCACTGATATTACGGACGAAACAGTTTTGATTGAACCCTTGTGCGTAGATGCCGCTTTTCCAATCGATTCCATTGATTCGAATTGCAGTTCCAAAAATGAAAACAACTCTTTCATAGTAGGAACTTCCTTCGGATTCGCCAGTGATTGCATGAATCGTATGTACAGAGCGTGATCCAATTTCTTTGTGATCAATTGAATCAATAGAGCATCCCAAGACGTTGTGTCGATTTGAAGATTGTTGAGGGCTAGCATGCATTCCTTTGTAGTGTCATGCAGAGCCTTGATGGAGGCCGTTGATGAAGTTCCATTTGGTTGATTCAAAATCCGTTCTACTAGAGTGGAAACAAGAACCCGCTTATTGTTATAACGTTCTTGCAGCAACATCCATGCCGTTTTGTAATTATCCTCTGTCAAGTATAGACGACTGATTAGTTTACCAGCCTCGCCAGACAAATTGGTTTTGAGATACCACATTTTTTGAACACTTGGAAGAGACTGTTTGTCTACCATCTCCAAGAAAAGTTCATAGAACTGACGCCACTTCAAACAATCCCCATTGACTTGAGGAATTGTTACCTTTGGTAGTGGGAGTGAACTGTGTGCTATAATGTCACTCCCTAATTGAGGTGCAATGGTCACGGTTTCGCTGCATTTGTCTTTCAAGACTGCTAGTTTTATTAAGTTGTCTTGTACCGAATCTTCCAGCATATCGTAGTTTTCTTGACTTAATCCAATTTTCGATGGATCTTCAATCTGCTGCAATATTTCATCGTAGAGCTCCGTTATTTGATTCCATAGCTTTTTTATAGTATCTTCTTTGATGCTATACAATTGCTTCGGCTGTTCCGCTTCGATTGTGCCCAAGCCTTGCAAGTGACGACTAAGGGCACTCATTCGAGCATTTATCATTCTGACAAGCCCATCAACACGGGAAGGTATTTTGTCTCCTGCGACAACTTCAGTCGATTTCTCTCTCAAGGTGGGAACTGGCTTACTTTTGGCTGACCTCAGTTTCTTCATTTCCGCGTCTATATATTCCATTGTTGAGCTGAACTTCTCTCCAATTGTTCTATATAGATTCCGAGCAATATACGGATCATCCTCTGACAATGATGGATCATCGCTAATTCTGTTTTCTGCCTTCTCAAAATTCTGCCATAACAGCCTTAGTTCATCAAGTTTGCTCTTGTAGAACTCTTCCGTTCTCCTTTCAAGAGGTGCCTTCTTTATAGTAGAGACGAATTTTTCGAAATTGCTGCCTCTTTCTTCTTGCTGAGAAATAAGCTCTTGGACGTTTGTCATTATTATTTGTTGATTTATCAGCGAGTAGCAGCAGTTGTTGTATGATGATTAGTTACCGGCAATTTCCTCCTGGTTTTCCTCCAGAGCTCCAAAAAGGGGTTTTTGAAATTGGTACGCGTGCGTTACGTCCTCACACCTTGTGGATAACGTCACCAAAAACTTTTCGGTTTAGTTACCGTCAGGATCACGTCGGGGTCACCAAAAAATGTTTTGATAGTAGGATCTAGTGCGATTCAATTCAAACACATAAATTTGAACTGACACTTAGTATCCAAATTAATTTCCTTCCAAGCACATGAACTTGAAGGAAGCCGCCTAGATAGTAAATAAAACTCTTAGTTTAGTCACTACAAAAGACGACTGAATTTTCTTTATTTCTGGCTGTCTTTATATACAAAATTTCTTAACATAATTAATTAAAAAATGCTATTGATAAATGCTGATATAAATTAATTGTAATGTAGGTCGGTTACTAGTAGACATTAAATGCTATGTAAGCAAAATAAATAAATGTGTTAAAGAAACTTAAAAACATTGCAAAAGTGAATGAACCAATGGCCAATGAACTAAAATAAAGAAAATTAACTGTAACAATAAAATAGTCCAAATATGTGATATAATAATGCTGTATAAGCAGTTTAAAACTTATAAATATGTAGGTGTGTTTGATTTTTGTATTTATTGTTTGTTTTTGGTAATTAAATCTAAAGTATGTTTATAGAACAATAAAAAAAAATATTTATGTATGTTTTAACAAATGTGTTTTCCCTCTGTTCTATTTGCTTGTGATACTATTCCTGTTATTGCATTTCTAAGATTGACTGACATACATCTTCAGGTCTATTTTCTGGGGGGTTGAGTAATGGTGGTCGGATAAGATTGTTGGGATTTGACATGATGGAAGATGGGTTTTTTATGTTCGGGAAAAGGATTTTAAAATTAAATCTTATAAACTAATTTTAATAAATTTTTATTTGTATGTATTTGATAAGTCGTTATTTTACTAGTTCTTTTTTCTTTTTAGGGTTGTTTTTATAATTATGGTTTTGAATTGTTTCTTTATATATTCAGTTTGTAGTTTTTAATGAAAATTATTCTTTTCTTCTTGTGTTATTTAATAATGTTTAAATTAAATTGTTTAATAATTGTCTTAAAATTAGAACTTACAAAATGAATATTTTAAGCTGCATCCCACCGCTGGTTCCGATTTTGTCCTTTTTGCGACTGCTACTTGGGATCTTCTTCCAGACACTTATGAGGATGCCCTGCGTTGAAGAACTGCAAGATGTAGAGTTCCGGGTTGCTGTGTCACGATATTTTTTTTAATGTTCGATAATATGCTTCTTCACTTTCTTTTTTGTTTAAAGTCGAAGCAATTAACTGATTTGGATTAGTGGTGTTTCTTTTATTCACTTGATATTTTCCCAGTTAGCGATTTAATTACATTGTCTTTTACTGGTTAAAGTTTTAGAATGTCAGTTAGTGATTTATTTATATATTCTTTTTTTTTTAATTTGAAACACCGTTTAATCGCTATAGACACTTAGCTGAACCCTCGAACGTTGGGCGCCAGTTAATAAAACATAACTTTCGAACGTTGGGCACCAGTTAATAAAACATAAACTTTATTTTATTAAAAAAAATTATTTTTATTATGTTTAATGGGAGTGAACCTCCTTTATTGAGTGATATTTTTAACAACTGAAATAAACTTATAGTTACATTTGCCATTATGGTTATGATTATGTTTACTTAAATTACAAAGAAATCACCTGATGTGATAGCAGACATGGTGTCAGCAAATTTTGGTGAGAACAGATATAAGAACGGATGCTCGTGTTAATGCAAGTATTGTGGGAAATGCTTATTTTTGTTTATTACAAGAAATGTTAATATTTTTAATGATAACTGGCATAAACAGTTAACAACAACATGCATGCACAAGTGAAGCTAATGCAGTCGTTAGGTACAAAATAGTAGCAACAACATACATGCGTAAGGGAATTGAAAGCGCGCGAATAACATTTAGACCTAAGATCTTTGGTTTAAAAAAAATTAAAACGAGTTCTTAAATGAACTTCACGAATTGAGTGTTGATTTCAGACTGACTTTATTTAAAAAATGATTTTACATTAATTGCTTAATTCGCTAAATTTGCTTATTTTGCTAAATTAGTAAAAGTTGTATTAAGTTACTGTCTGGCTTTTTTAGTTATGGAATTGATGAAGTCGTCGAATTTATCTTGTTGTTGGGTGTTTGCATATGTAACTACCCTCCCCTTTAAATCAGAATTCTCTCGAATTCGACTATTTATTTTAAATGTTATTCTTTTATGTTTATATAGTATTACAACGATAATTAATAAAAGTATAATGTTACATCCATAATTCCATTTACTGTAATATTTCAATAGGTATATATTCTTTACATTAATTTCATGATCTTTTACAATTGTTTCAAATGATATTTTATGAATAAAATGTGTTGTTTTATTTATTTTTTTTTTTGTTTAATATTATTGGTATATACATTTTTGGCATTTTTTACAATTATTGTATCTACATCTAATTGAATAATTTCTAAATCTTGAGTCATTTTACAATTATTTTTGATGATACAATGTTTACTTAATTTTAGGTCTTTTAAGTATGTATTTTCTTTAAATGTATATGTTTTATTTTGTAATCAAAAATTTGTTCAATATTATAATCAATTTCACATTTATCATTATTTGTTAGTGGTACAATTGTTCTTACTTCAATTTTAAGTGTTAAATAAGTGTCATAAAAATATGCTGTTCCTGTTTGGATGTATTTAATTTTATGATAATTAATATCGTATTTCATTAGTTGTCAAAATACTTGGATGTACTAATCCATATTTAGAAGATATAATATTGACCTGAATATGTTCTAATTTATTTTTTATTAGTTGGATATTTGTTAACTGTTCTAAATAGGCTGTTCTGTCATTTTCTTCGTCTAAAAATTTATTTATCGAATTTAATTCCGTTTCTCTTAGTATACGATCATTTTGTATTACTGTTTTTAAATGGTTTAAAGTCATATTAAAGAAGTCATTAATTATTACTTGTTGGTTATTGTTTTCTCTTATTTCATTTATATTAAACAATTTATTCTGTATAGTTTGTCGGTCTTCGTCGTCCATTGTGCCAAATAAATATTTTGAAAGTCCTCCTATTCCATTAATTAGTCCACGTCTATGTCTGCAATACTTAGGCTTTATGATTGAAATTTTGTTTTTTATGTCCATTTTTTCTAATTGTAATATGTCTTTATTTGTGATCTTTGATAGAATAATATTTTCTTTCATTTGTTCTACAATGTTTTCAATTTCTTCTAATTTTATTATATGTACTATTATATCAGTTTCCTTTACTATGTCTTGTGGTTTTATACTAATGTCTATATATCCAGATTGTTCAGTCAAACGTGTTGTTGTCATTGCTGTTTGTATTGTTGGTCAGGGTCATTATTATTAGGATTACCCAGATCTGTAAATTTTAATGGTCGTTTAATATTGATAGGATGAATATTTTTTAATTCTGCTTTTTTTATGTTTCCTTTTTTGTATCCTTTTCTATTTTCTATATATTCTTTCCTAGATCTGTTTAATTTATCTATTGTTTTAATTTTATTGTCTTCAATATTCTTTTTTACTTTCATTTCATCGACTTCCTCATGTTGGATCTCTTTAGGTGGATATTTTGTTACCGAATGATATCTCTCATTATAATTTCTAATTGCTCTTTGGATAAGTTGTCTAATTGGTATGTCTTTACTTAATTTGTATAAGATTTCAAATTTTTCTGCAATTGTATTATGTAGACGCTCTATGTCTGCATTTCCTGTATGACTGTTTGGCTTTGTAAGATGTTCTCATTTTGTAAAAATTCTTTTAATCTTATGGAATTAAATTCATTATCTGCTACTATCTTTTTTGGTTTACCTATTCTTGTAAAATGTTCCCCTAATTTTTCTATAATGGTTATAATATTTCTATCATTTAGTGTATAAGCTGTTGCAAACTTTGAAAATTTGTCTATTATTGAAAGGAAATGAAATCCTTTCATTACGTAGGTATCCATATAAATAATTTCATTTTTAGTAGGAGTTTCTGTTTTATTAAATTTTGCTTTAATGGGATGCCTATCGTATTTTACTTCTTGACATATATCACATTGATTTATTACAACTTGTATTAATTCTTGTAATTTTGGATAATATATTTTAGTTTTAATATTATTGTATGTCTCAATAATTCCAGAATGTATACTTTCTCTAATATGGTATAAAGATATTTGTTTTATGGCTTCGACTTCAGTTTCAATATCTTGTGCTCTCATTGTAAATTTTTCGAATTTTAACTGCGTATTATTTGAAAACATATCTATTAATTTTTGTTGTACAATATTGCACTTAGAATAGCTTAATTCAGAATAAATTCCTACCTTTCCTTTTGTTATATATTTCCTAAATATTTCACCCATTATTTCAAAATCTGATTCTGATATGAAAATTATTTTCTTTCCATGGATAGTTTTTAATTCTTCCGTTTTATTATTAGTGATAATCAGTTGAGTCCTGTATTTATTAACTATATCTTCCTTTATAGCAAAATGATTCATTAAATTTTCTTCTGCTGAATGAACTGTTACTAAGGTTAAATTTTCTTCTACATCATTTATTATATTCTCAATTGTTTCTTTATCTATTTCATCATGTGTTTGTGATGATATTTCATCATGCTCTTCATTGTTAATATCTTTGTTTTGTTCAATTCTACTTAAAAAATCTGTTACGTTATTTTCTTTTCCTTTAATATAATCTATGTTGAAGTCATATTCTCCTAACATAAGTAACCATCTTTGATGTCTTGGAGAGATGTCTTTTCCTTTATATTTAGAATGTAAATATTTGATTGGTTGATGATCTGTTAATATTTGAAATTTCCTTCCATATAAGTATAGTCTTAAATAA